AGTTTTAAAACTAGTTCTTCTCAAGAACCAAACATATAAGGGGTCACTGGGACCTGTCTCTGATGTGGGTTAAAGAGGAAAGAACAGACAAGAACAAGGTTCGGATGCCTGCTCTGTGTTCCTACAACGCTCCCCAGAAGTCGCTGTGCACCTGCTGCAATTTCCCTTACTTTTCTATGACACAGCCTTTCTTCGTTGGTTCCTCCTCCCTGTGACTTAAACCTCTGTCCCTGCCCTCCCCTAGCTCCCTTCTTCCAGAAAGTTCCTCTGCCATTCCCAGAGACTTGCAGAACACTGGGGTTTGAAATACATTAAACAGATATTTTTTTAATTAATAATTTCTGTTAAGTGATGAAGGTTTCATATACGAATTGTGCACAGAAAAATCACAGTAAACTTCTGAGATAATGTTAGACAGCTTATGTGACAACCAGGTTAGCTTTGATGAAGGGATTTGGGACTCAGGGTGAGAAGACAAGATAAATTAGCAGACAAGAAAATGAAACCATTTATTCTGCAGTAGTTGGGAACTTGTTAAAAACAAATGGAGAAAGAAATTGTTGAAAACAATAAAGCCCTTAAGAGGTCTGGGAATCCTGTCGCTTACATGGAATAGAAACTGAAAGAGATTAGATGGAGCTATTCAGAATAAATGAGTATCTCAGACTAAGACTTTTGGTTTGTATCTCTTCACAGCCTGAAATTTTTAATCGACTTCTAAAAGCAACACTAAATAATACTATGATAGCCAATATTTTTATTTTTAAAGACCTTTAATTTGATTTCCACATGAGAGTTACTTGCCATAAAAGATAAATGATGAGAGTGATTGGTATTAAAATTTATAGGGAGAAAAAGGCTTGCATTTTTCTTATTAAAGCAATTTTTCACAGATAAATTGATCTTTAGCCCATGTGAGAGTGCATTTCTTGGCAGTGAGAGAACTAATAACTAGATTACAAAATGTACCAATAAGAAGTAAAGTTAATCCTACCCAGCTTATATATGATATATATATATATGTATATATATATATATATGTGTGTGTGTGTGTGTGTGTATTTGTGTGTGTATATATAATTACACACACAGTTAAGCTTTTTACGTCTTTGTAAGCTTTATAACACTCTGAACTAAGGCAGTTTTTCTCCTTCACCTCATCAGTGAGATAGCAAACATCCTGCTTTTTCCAACCCACTCCACCTACTCCTATGTTTCCCTGTTCTGACTTCATTATGTCTTCTCCCTTGTCCCATTCCAGATATGCTCAGGAATCACATGCAGGGTCTTCTCCAAACTGTCCTGTCAATGGTCCACAGAACAAGAAAGATTTTTGAGGGCAGGACTGTGGAGGAACTAAGACAGGGTCTGTGGTACACCCTCTAGAAGAACTGACAACACCTCTGTATCCAACACCTTTAAGACCTCAGAGTAAAGTATCTATTTTCTGAAAAGTCATCTACATTTGACCTCTTTTCTTTTCTGCTTGCACTTTAAATTAGTACATAAACTGGGGCTGTGATTTTGGGGATATTGGGTGGCGGGTGGGGAGGAACAGATGGTCTCCAGAAGCCAGGCCTCCTATAGCAAAGTTTCATTTGAAAACAACAATGATCATGGAGAATGAGAAGATACAGCATGTTAAATCTTCAAAGATGCGGGAAATCTGTGGTTTTTAAATATTTCTGCATCTAGAGTTTACCTTAATGAGCCTCACGGAGTTTCAGATGTATTGAAGGAAAAGGAAAGTGAGTGCACTCTTACAGCTGGAGCAGTGCTGAGAATAGGACACCTTGAGCTTTATCTTAGCTTTCCTATGAAGAATTTGAAAGACTTTGGCCACTGATTTTAGCTTTCCACTCTTCAGTGATGTGATAAGTTATGAACACATAATCTAACATAAAAAATGCATGATCAAATTTGAACTATAGCCAAATCTTACAAAAAATTTATATAAAATATTTAATTTTGCAAAAAATATTGTTGCAGTGATCTCCAACCTTGTTCACCTTTTTTATCTTCAATATGTCACACAGAGTTTGGCATATAATAGATAAGTAAATTTATTTTAACTTTGTTGAGTAAATGACAATAATATTTCACATTCTCTCAATACAATAGTTGAATTCTATGTGTACCTTCTTAGCAGCTAGTTTTGAAAGAAACTTCATTAATACCAAGCAAGTCCATTATTGAACAGATACAACACAGGATGAAATAATTTTATTTAGATGCTATTTTTAGGATAGAAGGAAGGTGAAGTTGACTAATAGGAGATGGGACATGAAGGGATAAAGGTGCTTATTTGGCAGTGGTGCTCTGCTGAATCCGGTCCATGGAGTCGCAGACCTCGGTGTAGACACAGGTTTGCCTTGCAGAGCACAGCCATAGCCTCAGGAGACAATGCCCTGGAGCTCTCATTGCAGACCATGAGGCCACCTGAGTTACACTGATCAATAGGGAGGAGACCACAGTGCTCCTGATTAGGCTCAGATAGGAGCATGGTGTGTAAAATGTTCTTTCATTGTTATGGAGCCTGTTTTCCCAGGTGGCTAATCCTCCAGAAGGCACCTCCTCTTCTGGAAGCCCAATCATGAATCTAATTATCTCTAGTCTTTCTCCATCCTCACTTGGCCCCTCGTCTTTCCTTGGTAGGCCAATCAGACCAAAAGGCCTTGAGAACTGTAGGAATTTAATGCTGACTAACTAGCTCTGCTCCTTTCACTAGGGTTCCCTTCCACAGTTTACCTCCTCAGAAGGGTACGTGGAAGTGCCATTTGCAGACCGTCTATGAATCTTTTTACCCTTTAGCCATAAATATCACAGAAAGAAAATATATAATTTAAATGAAAACTATCCTTTACCTCTCACAATTCATCCCAGGACCAGTTTTACAGTCCTCTGTGTTTCGGAAGAGGGGAGCTATGGTGGAGAAGGATGAACCTCAGCTGAAATTGAGGAGTACAAAGAAACCAACTTGACCAGAGTCCTTTCCACCCTGCAGGAATTCCAGGCACATCACGTTGCCAATAGTCTTGCCTAGGTAGCCACTGTGACAGGCAGAGCTGGAGAGGATAGGAGCGTTCAGACACTGCAGGAGGTCAGGTAAGTTGGCTGTGGAGTTGGGGATTGCAAGAGTGAAAATGGAAGATTACACGTGGGGCTCCTGAAAGTTTTTTTCTCACTATCTGTCCCCTTTAACCTTACGTATGCACTCTTTCCCTCAATTAGCCAATAACTTTTAGTTTGGGAGAACAACACTTTTTTTCTGGAAGGTTTTCCAGATAATTCCAACCAATGAGTTGTTCTTTCTCTGACACTAGCTTTGGTTACTACCAATCTCACATGTAGAGACTTTTATTTGTCAAGCAGGTATATGCTCCAGGCAAGACCAAATCCCTGAGCCACTGTTCACTTTACCTCCTCAGTTTCTAGTTCCCTGCACATCACTAATCATATTTCGATTAAATACTCTGATATCTTACTGTCACACCTTTTTCATTGCCTGAGCAAAACCAGCTTCCTTCCTTAGTATATTCTAAAACTCCATATACCTGTTAAAGCGACTAAATATGGCCTGAGAAGGACTCCATACTTCTATATTTGAGTCCTTGTGGATAAACTGCAACCTGTCTTAATAGATATACATGATTTAAAACCTAACTTAGGAGTATGCTCCTGTAACAACAGCTGATTCTTGGCCAATCCCAGCAGCCATAATTCAACCCCTCATAGACGGCTAAGTGTTCAGACTGTGTTCAAATAAGGCAAACACTGAGCTGTAACCAATCCAGTTGTTTCTGTATCTCACTTCTGATTTCTGCACATGACTTTCCCTTTTTTGTCTATAAATTTGTTCTGACCATGAGGCATTTCTGAAGTCTTTCTGAATTCACGAATCGTTCATTGCTCAATTAAACTCATTTCAATTTAATTCAGCTGAACTTTTTCTTTTACTGTATTCAAAAACTACTCTCTGGGAACTTTGCCTTACCTGTAAATTTGGACTAACTGTTCCCCAACATGTCTTTCACCTTTAGCATTCTCAGACTTGGTACTTCTGTTCCAGGTGACACTGCCACAGCTCAGGGTGTTGTCCTGGCCAGAGATGAGGTACTGAGTACCAGCAGCTGCCCAGGGTCTTGGCAGAGAGACTGGACACTTGAAAGCTGATGGTGGCAGGTGAGTTCATCTTAATCAGCATGACATCATTATCAATGGTGGCTCCATTATATTTGGGGTGGTGGATGATCTTGGCTGCCTTAATGAATTGCTAATTGCCCTCAAGAATATTATCCTTGTGTTCTCCCAGAAGCACCTGGATTCAGCTGGATTAAAGGATCAAAAGTTCCCTAAGGTAGGCTGCCGTGGCTCACACCTATAACCCCAGCACTTTGAGAGGCTGAGGCGGGCTGATCACTTGAATTCAGGAGTTCAAGACCAGCCTGGCCAACATTGTGAAACCCCATCTCCACTAAACACAAAAATTAGCTGGGCGTGGTGTCACATGCTTATAAATCCAGCTACTCAGGAGGCTGAGGCAGGAGAGTTGCTTGAACTCCAGAGGTGGAGGCTGCAGTGAACCGAGATCCCACCACTGCTCTCCTGCCTGGGTGACAGGGCAAGACTCTTTCTCAAAAACAAACAAAAAAATTTTTTTAAGCTTCCTAAGTATCTAACGAGGTCCTTCCACTTCCCCAATCCCCTCTTCATAAGCAGAAACACGGGCATCTTCCTCTTCAAGCGTTCGCTCCCACAGGTTATTGTTCACTTAAGGTGGCATTGTGCACTACCACACATGGTGCAGGTTAGAGTTTTCCTTATGGAAGCGTCACTACGAGTGCAGACTCCTAGTCCACCATCTTGATAGATTAATAAAGAATAGGAATGGAATCCCAATGACCTCTATAAAATAATTAGAGATGAAAAGGCAATTGGTGGAGTTTGATCAGAACCTGTCACTTATTCTCTGATTAAGATTACCAATTCTCCATCGGAAGATGAGGCAGGAGTCAGAGGTTCGGCAGAATGTCAAGAAAACTGAGTAAGTCAGGCTTATTTTTGCTACTGTACTAAAAACATCTGGCATTTTATTATCTGTATATGTCTTTTTTTCCTGGTTGAGATATCATGATTGGGACTATGTAACAATTCACATTCTTAAGCTATTTCATCACTCACCCTTCTATGTCTTTAGCATCCTCATTTGGGAAGACATCAGAGAACCCTAAAGGTTGCCTCTCCATGCAAAAGCCCCCTAATCCATCAGACAATGCTTGAGAGAATTAAAAGCCCCTTAACATCTGAGCGCTTCACTCCTAAAGCATAACTTTACAGATCACCCTGATTGGGCTTTGTCAAGGCAGTGGATAACTTGATCTTAGGGCATAGGGAAGTGTGCATTGGTCATGTAAGTCTTGCAGCAGTGAGCTGCAGCCACAGACCATTGGTTCTTGATGAGGGAGTTGCTTCAGCAGTGGTAGCCAAGGCTCAGGGACACCTGGTAAAGGGTGGCATTCTCCTGACAGGTGTACCTCCCAAAGATTTTGTCATTATCATAATCAGTGGGGAAAGCACCTTACAAAGAAAACCTGAAAATTATCTGTTAAACAGATCCATCTTGGAATTTTGATGCCACTAATTTCTCTCTTTGGTTCTAACCTGCAATTTTTATTAAATATTTAAATAATTTAACAGACTATTATAAGATTTACCTCCCCAAGCATTCACATTATCCTGGTTGTCTTTTTAGCTTTCATCAATTTATTAAGCATTGTGAAGTCTGACCAATTGATTCCTCGAGATTTCTTGTAGCTCCAAAATTCTGTGATCATATTACACGGGACCCGTTATTCAAATATTTTTAAATAATGTTAGTAAAAAGGCATATAAACAAATTTATAACAGGTCAATTTGGGACAATTTGGTATTAAGTTTTTGTTGTATACAATTTAGCAGTATGAAAAGTCATTTCCCTATTTTATTCATAATGGAATGACATGTTACTTTACAGATGAGGCGCTTTGGTGACAATGATGTTGTGAAAACAGCCCATAGATGGCATTCATGAGAAACAAAATGGCTTAGTGCATTAGACCCCTCAGCTCTATATCAATAGACCTTTAGTGTAGAGGAGGTACAGGTTCTGACACTCACAGCCTCTTCAGGAGCACAAGATTACTTCCAATTATTAGCTGGCATTTTTTAGAAAGGCCAGGACAACCACTCCTTAATCTGAGCTATACTCTTGTTTCTCTCCATCATAATTTTACCTGGAAGTTGAGAGCAAGTTCTTATTTAAATCTATCCCTCATCACTCCCACTCACTGTAATCTTCCTCCAGGAATTGATATTTTGTTGTCTATGAACATAAGTACTTTACACAGGTGTTTCAACATATTTAGTTTCTTCAGTAGAGAGACCAGATTCAGCACTCATTGTTGTCTTCCAGACTGCAAAGCACAATTTTTAATAGGTGATAGAAATTTACCAATTGATTCCCTGCAAGAGATTCATCAGCAGCTCCCAGGAAAGCAAGGAAGAGGAAGATCTTGATGGTTTCTCACTGGATCTGGCATAGGCAATAGAATGACAGGTTTTCATCCACAGCTATCGACACCCATCTATCATTGACACCCATCATTACCACAGGTGCCAGAAAAGCAATTTCACAGGAAACTCACAAATCTGAACCTAGGCTTTAATTCTGTGAAGGATGGAAAAGAATTCACCATCAACTTTATATGTCAACACTTGTTCCCTTTATAGAAGACTATGGAAATGGAAGGAACAAACCCACTGATCAGCATAGTTGCCCGTCACAGGAAAGACACTGGAGGAAGGTTGCAGGACAGAGCTACAGGTGTCTTAGGTAGCTGTTGTCTCAACTGTGAGTGTTTATTCTAAGATTATCTTGAATGGTGCAAATTTGATGTTTAATAACATAAACTCTTTCACAATTATATTCTGTGTTATGGTAGGCCTGGTGTTACACATTCATGCAAACTTTTCTTTATGTGTAGAACAACTTGTTCCCTTGAAAAAAGAATGGTTGTTCTTATTTGAAATTATAATAGATAAATAAACATGACAGTTAAATTTACTTAGAGCTTACTGTATACGTCAGGGATATTCTAAGTACTCTGCCTATATCAATTTAGTAATTCTCACTACAACCATATGAGACACCTATTATAATTCCCACTTCACATGGAAAAACTAAGTCACAAAAAAAGTATAGGGGATTTGCCCAAAATCGCACAGCAAGTACATGGTAGAATCAGCATTACAAGCTGGAAAATCTGTCCTCAGAATCTGTGATCTTAACTACTAACCCACACTTCCCCAGTCAATTTTCTGGATACTAAGATAACATAGAATTCTTGGCCAAGGATAGTATAACTGAAATATAGATAGCTTCCTATGTATCAGACACTGTGGAATGAGTCTACCTGCATCAACTTATCTAGTCCTCACAAACAGCACTATAAATGTTGCACCGTAATTCTCATTATTTGAAAAATGTAGCGGAGGAGGCCTAGAGAAGTTAAGTGTTTTTTTTTTTTTTTTTTAAGTTTCATAGCTGTTAAGTGGCCAATTCAGGGTTCAAACTCAAGCAGCCCCACTTGAGGGTCTATGCTTTCAATAGTGGTGCCATAAATACAATAAGGGAGAACATGCCGAGCTCTGCCAAACTGAGGGCTAACTCCAAGGAGTATTCACAATTTTAGAAAATACAAGAAATGAGTTCCTGGAGCAGAAATTGTCAGAAGTAAGAGGGCATGACAGAAGTATACAGCTGAGTGCCTCTCAGTGAGAAGTAACTCATAGCTCAATGTAGCCATGCTCTACACCTATATAATAAATCGAAATGGCCTAGCGGGTCTATTTCTGCTAATGTAAATTATCACTCCTGAAGTAGTTTCTGCTCCTTTTACATTTGAAATATTGCTGCTCTCAAGATAACTTGTTCAAAGGCAGCATTTCTCAACCTTAGCACCACAGACATGCTGCGCCCGATAATTCTTGGTTGTGGATACCCGTCCCATTCATTGCGGGATGTTTATCAGCATCTCTGGTCTCTGGATGAAAATAGCAAGACCTATGTCCTCTAGTCATGACAACCAAGAATGTCTCCAGTCATTGCCATATGTCTCCTGGGAGGCAAAAATGATCCCCAGCTGAGAGCCACAGCTCTAAGGGGAAAATCGGGAAATAGGACTTTCCTTGTAATCCCATCTCCTTAAAAAAGTGTATTAAGGTGTTGGACAATATAGATACTCAATGGCACCCCAGACATGAAGCTGCCATTAATTGATCCCTAAAAATTAGGAAATAATAAGGCATAAGAGAAGGGGCAGTTTTGCTTTAAAATAAAAAGTTCAAAATTGCTTACTTTTTAAGGTTTTCACTGGAAATTAAAGTTACTAAAAGTACCTAATGAATTCTCACTAATACATGTAATTCTATCTATATGCAGAGTATACAAAAGGAAAATAAAGAGTTTTTTGATGAAAAAAGTCTAAGAAAGACATAAAATGTTTCCTTTTATTAAAAAAGAATAATTTTGTTTGTGTAAGAGGTTATTTAATGAATGCTTTCAAAATGTGGATTGAAAAATAAAATAAGGCAGGAAGAAACTAGTGTGTAGGAAAGATGCACAGTAAAAGAAAGTTTAAAAACCTGTATTTTTATAAGAAAAAATTTTTAAAGAGTTTTTTTTTTCTGGTGTGAGAAAAGCTTATTCAATCAAAATGATAAGTAAAAAAAGTAAAGTTTGTCCTAGATAGAATGATTGGTTGTTTTCATATGAAAAAGAGAGTATAGGGCAAAAATTACAGTTTTGAGAAAGTGATAAAAGGTTTGAGAAAGTCATAGAAGTTCTGAAAAGACTCATAAAAGATTTGTGAAAAAATAAATATTATAAAAACAATTTTGTGTGTGATCAAGTCAGATACAATTTGAAGAATGTTGCTTTATAGTTCTAAATTGAATTTCATATCAAAAGTACACTGATGCAAATCTATAATTTAGTCTCCTGTTTTAAAACAAGATGTTCTTGGAGTTGATTGCTTTTAGTAAAAAAAATTTGAGACTTTTTTTTTCTTTGTAAGACAGAGTGATACCTGCCTAGGCTGGAATGTAGTGGCAGGATCACAGCTCACTGCAGCATGGACTTCCCAGGCTCAGTTGATTCTCCCACCTCAGCCTCCCAAGTAGCTGGGACTGCAGACATGCACCACCACAATCTGTGGATTTTTGTATTTTTGTAGAGATGGAGTTTTGCCCAGGCTGGTCAAACTCCTGAGCTCAGGCAAGCATTCCACCCACTTGGCCTCCCGAAGTGCTGGGATTACAGGCATGAGCCCTTGTGCCTGGCCCAGGAAACAAAGATTCTGTATCTTACAAAAAATAATTTTCTGTATTTCCTGTTGTCTTTGTTAGGTTTTCAATTACTTAAAACAATTGAGCCTTAAATGAGTTAAGGGTGTTTGGTATTTTTTTCATCTTTGCAACTTTATCTAATTTTCTTTATAATCTTTTAATTGCCACTTTAGGTAAATGGATAAGTATTCACTGTTTCACAGTGATTTGAAAACTTATTTTGATCAAATATTCTAAATCAACACTTACAACTAAATTCACTAAAATCAAATTCAAAATTAAGTCTTTAGAATGAAATTTGTTATAATACTAGTTATCCATTATGATCTCATGATCCAGTAAAAGAAATTCCTCACCACAACATTTTCCCAAAACCACATCTTTATGAGACTGAAAACATCATCATCTCCGAAAGCACCCTAAAACACTGAAAGAAAAATTCACCATGCTTGGTAATACAATCTTATCCTTGCACTAAGAAGATACTGTGTGTATGAGTGTGAGTTTGTGTGTGTATGTGTGTGTGTGTGCATTTTCTCATGGAGACTCATCCACATGAAACAGCTTCTCTTTGGATTGCATTACTAAGAAGCACTGGGTTACTAGTGGAGCTCATAGGCACTTCTGGGGAGTGACTAGAAATGTCAGACCACTCAATATGCCTAAGATGTAGCTGATGGGGTTGTTTATTTCAAGACTTTCTATGATTTCAGAATTAAATATAAAAAAGCCTAGAGACCCAATTATAAAATGCACTATCTACAATTCAGTAAATAATCTAAGTACAAAATATGAAGAGATATGTGTCTGTCGAATCAAAAGGTGATGTGGAATATCAATCATGTTTCCAGGCTGGGAATCATGTTTCCTGTGGGGAAAAGAAGGGGCTTGATCTTTTCAAACTGTTTTACTTTATTCCCTGTGTTATTCAGGGTTCTCTCTTTCATCTTATCACATGAATTGCAATTATGCAACAATTATTTATTAGCAATCAGTGTTAGTTAATGCATCCTTTTGTCTCCACTGGCTAAGGGTGGATTTGAGGATCACCCTAACTGGCCTGTTTGGCAAAGCACTGGGGGTGTGTATGTGAGAGGGTAGGGTGTGTACGAGTGGGGATGTGGGAATCCCTGTTCCTGATTTGGACAATCTTGAGCACATCAGGTCAGAAAGTGAATCTTTGAGACTGTGGATGGTTGGCCACATGGAGGTGCTGTGGCTCCACAATGCTTCAGGGAACCCTAGAGAGGGGTGGGAGGTGACCCATCGAGGAGGGCTGAAAGGAAGCCTGGTTGTCTGCTGGCATCAGCGGGGCGATTTGAATTCAGAGTGGATCCTGAGTTAAACACAGACTCCTCACTGCCAGAGCAGAGTAGGGGTGCCAAAGGCACCAAAGCACGTTTACACATCCTTCAATCTTCTCCCATTTGGTGAATACAAAATCTTCTAAACGGAAATAGAGCACTCCCTGTGACCCTAGAGACACGAGCTAGGTGTAGTTCTGGGTGAACATTTCATCCACATTCCTAATGAGCTTCCTCTTTTCTTTATGGGAGGTACAGTCACTCAGGGGACTTAGATGATGCAGTGTTCATGGCTTCACCTGAAGCAAAGGGAAAAATCATACCCATGAGAACACACAGCAGCCTGAGCTTGAATGGTGAGGGTCCCATCAGGCGCAATGAGTTGCTACAGCATAAAACAAGTCTTCAAATGGTAATCACTTTGAACCCACAACTTTGAAACCTTTCTGGATGTCAGTTGACTCTTTTAACCAAGGGTATCTCTGTAGGCTGAAATATAAATATCCAGAGGTTAAATAAAGAGGAAAATAATTCAACTTGGAGTTACTTAAATTTTGTGAAGAGAAGTCATAAAAGTCACCAGGACTGCTATGACAATGTCCTTTAGACTACAGAAACATTCATAAATGTTAAAACAGCATTCAAATGAAGAATTTAGAATAATGGGAGTAAAATATGCATAGAAGAACAAATTTCTCTGCTAAAATCTGGGAAGGAGAGTACAAACTTTAAGATTTCTTTCAAAAAATATCTATACTTTTTTCCCAATCTAAGCTTCTCAACTCTCTCTATTATAAATGATTTGTTCCATGAGGAAGAGAAGGGGCGTGGCGAGTTAGCTCTGCGGTTCACCCACTTAACAGGGCCAGCGACATCATCCAGTCACTGAGAGCCCAACTTCAATTCACCCACAGCAGGGCTGGAAGACACAAGATCCTACCTGGTGCTGAAATGGGCACCAGGCTCTTCTATGTGGCCCTTTGTCTGCTGTGGGCAGGTGAGGGCTGGTCACAGGAGGGCCTCCTTCCCTGGAATTCCCAAGGCCTCCATGCAAGCTTTTCTGTTGGGATGACATCAGTGTCTGTTGTTCTCTATTATAGGACACGGGGATGCTGAAATCACTCAGAACCCAAGACACAAGATCACAGAGACAGGAAGGCAGGTGACCTTGAAGTGTCACCAGACTTGGAACCACAACTATATGTACTGGTATCGACAAGACCTGGGGCATGGGCTGAGGCTGATCCATTACTCAGTTGCTGCTGATGACACAGAGAAAGGAGAAGTCTTTGATGGCTATGTTGTCTCAAGATCAAACCTAGAGGATTTCTCCCTCACTCTGGAGTCGGCTACCCACTCCCAGACATCTGTGTACTTCTGCGCCAGCAGTGACTCCACAGTGCTGCACAGCTGCCTCCTCTCTGCTCATAAAGGGCAGTTAGAGAAACTGAGGTTGCCTATGCTCCCAAGTCTGGGCCCCAACCCAGGAAGTCTCGGCCCCCATAGGAGTCACAGAGCCCTGGCCAGCCTGGGGGTCTTGGACAGGGGCCATATGACCCTTTAGTGCTGCGGCTCTATTCCTACCCCTGTCTCAGACCATCTGGAGTTTGCCCCAATACCCGGACCTTGCCGGCTGTCTCTTCTGCAGCTCCCTTTTCCTCCTTGCAGAATGGAAAAGATATTTTGTTGATAGTCCTAATTCCCTTCATAATTCCAAAGCCAACATATTCTTCTCTCCCTTATGGAATCAGTGACTTCTTCATAGAAACCTTACTCTATCCTCTAATACCCTTCAACTCACAGACATAAACCTTCCCCCATGTGGTCTCTGCTCCTGGCTGCCTTTCTTCTAAGGGCAATTGCCCTATACGGTCCTCTATCATTTGCCCTTCCCCTGCCTCTCCATCAACATTTTGCATCAAGTCTCCCCTGGCTCTCAACTCCAGCCACACTCCCCTACGTTCAGTTATATCTTCAAAGGTGTAGTGTTGTTTTCCATCCTGGGGCCTGTTTATGAATAATAGATTATTTCCACTTCACTGAGCATACGTACTTCTGACCTATTCCCAGCCTATACTTAATTCCTTACATAAAAGTCTATTTCAGGTACATTTACCCTTAACTGTAAAAAGCAAAACAAATTTTACTAGAAAAAAATTAAAGAGTATATTTTTAGCACTCAACTGAGGAATTAGTTGTTTAGATGACACACAAGAAAACCACAAGCCATAAAAGTATTTGTAACTCGGCCGGGCGCGGTGGCTCACGCCTGTAATCCCAGCACTTTGGGAGGCCGAGGTAGGCGGATCACGAGGCCAAGAGATCGAGACCATCCTGGCCAACATGGTGAAACCCGACTCTACTAAAAGTACAAAAAATTAGCTGGGTGTGGTGGTGCGTGCCTGTAGTCCCAGCCACTCAGGAGGCTGAGGCAGGAGAATTGCTTAAAACTGGAAAACAGAAGTTGCAGTGAGCCAGGATCATGCCACTGCACTCCAGTCGGGTGATAGAGCAAGATTCTGTCTCAAAAAAAAAAAAAAAAAAAAAAAATTGTAACTCCAGTTGCATTAATCTATACTTTTGAACACCAAAACAAACCATAAGAAATGAAATGTTAAACCACAGCATGGGAAAAAAAACGAGGAAGGCATGCAGATAATGAAAAATCAGTGTGACAGAGAAGAGTCGGGCTCACCAAATACCCAATGGCTCCTCTCTGCTTCCTGGCTCACTTGCACCTGGAGGATTGGGAGCACGCCTCCACATTCTGAATAGTGGGATGCGAATAAAAAGGATGCCAGCCCAGTTTCAAGCCTGGCCCTTAAAAATATCCTGTGGCTCCGTGCTGAGGATCCCTAAATGTACTCCCCTGTTTAGAGATTTGGTGTATGGCATAGAGGTATACTCACAGCTAAGATTTTTCAACATGTCATAGTAAGTTGTCAGCAGCAGCTCATACAGAGAAAACACGCAGTGGGATCTGGAGGAATCTGGAAGAGTTCACACTCAGGCCTCGTTATGTTCTCTTCCTCCCAGGAGGGGTCACACAGGGCTCTCTCTTCACTGAGTAGCAAAATGCATTAACACATGAGCAGTGATTCTGACAAGTGAGTCCATTAGAGACTCAGCACTCACGAGGCTTTAGAGGAGGCTGGTCACATAAGCAGATACTGCCTAGCATTAACCTAAAATCCAGACCCCAGAAGGAAATCTGGTGTTCAGTAGAATACTGTTTGCAACACATATATCCCCGTCCACCTCTCTGGACATCATCTCCTTGTGCTGTTATTTTATGCTGACTCTAAGGAGTGCCATCCCCTAACTCCTTCTATTTCTTATTACTCAGTTAATGAATAAAAGTGTGTTTGTGCCTGATGTTGCCCCATTAGAAAAAAAAAGTCAGATAATGACCACTACAGTTCAAATGTAATTTACGCTAGAGGTGTAGCTATAAGGTTATTTTTAGATTTCAGCAAGTCTGTTTGATTTTGTAATTCTTACAATATATACTGATATTTTCAGGAATAGGAGAATTCCTCACCCATCTTAGATGAAAAATCAGAACTTACTTGTATTACATTTTATTACATTTATTATCCCAAAACTACAGGCAGAGCCATGATGAAGGCTTGGTACGCAATGCATCATGAACACTGGGAATGGCAAAGAGGAAACTGCTCATTGGTCTTACTAAAAATGAACCCTTCCAACTCTGAGCTCAGGGTATTATTTTATCCCTTTAGCTTACAGCGTGTCGGGTACTTCAACAAGCTTCTAGGATACACTTGTATCAGTTAACAGCTTCTATGCGCATAGGACCAGGAAGATAGAGAACCTAGTAAAAGAGAAATGCCGGCTGTGGAAGGTGGCTCATGCCTGTAATCCCAGCACTTTAGGAGCTCGAGGCAGGCGGATCATGAGGTCAAGAGATCAAGACCATCCTGGCCAACATGGTGAAACTCCATCTCCACTAAAAATACAAAAAATGGCTGGGCGTGGTAGTGCATACCTGTAGTCCCAGCTACTTGGGAGGCTGAGGCAGGAGAATCACTTGAACCCGGGAGGTGGAGGTTGCAGTGAGCTGAGATCATGCCACTGTACTTCATCAGCCTGGCAACAGAATGAGACTCCATCTCAAAAAAAAGGAAAAACAGAAATGTCCAAAGAGAAGGATAATTGCTGATAAGACAAAGAGGTCGCCAATTGATGTCTCTATTTCGAGTTGTCTTCAACTAGAAACATCCAGCAGAGGATGGGCCTAAAGATGTAGTGAGAGACCTAATCCCCAAGCCCTAGAGATGTGAGTGGGAACACTTGGATGAACTTGCCCAGTCTATGAATATGGTAAAGCAACTCTGTGCTCTGTTTTACTTATAGTAATTGGTTTCTTAGAACATAGGCATTTATGGAGGCAATGATGTCACTTTGGGAACTGCCATGAGAGAACAAGGACGTCCCTCCTCCTCTGCTTCTGCTCACAGTGACTCTGATTGGGCAAAGCTCCCATCGTGCCCTGACCCTGCCATGAACACCAGGCTCCTCTGCTGGGCAGCCCTCTGTCTCCTGGGAGGAGGTGAGTCCTAGGAACACCATGGCACATTGGATCTCTCGGTGATTATTTCAACCATTTCCTTCTTTCTATTTTCAAATTCTGTCTTTTTCCTTCACAGAACTCACAGAAACTGGAGTTACCCAGTCCCCCAGATATAAGATTACAGAGAAAAGGCAGGCTGTGGCTTTTGGGTGCAATCCTGTATCTGGCCATGCTGGCCTTTACTGGTACCAGCAGATCCTGGGACAGGGCCCAAAGCTTCTGATTCAATATCAGAATAAGGATGTAGTAGACGACTCACAGTTGCCTAAGGATCAATTTTCTGCAGAGAGGCTCAAAGGAGTAGAATCCACTCTCAAGATCCAGCCTGCAGAGCTTGGGGACTCGGCCGTGTATCTCTGTGCCAGCAGCTTAGCCACAGCGTTGCAGAGACACTTCCTCCTGTGCAGAAAACGGCAGGGCTCCTCTTCTCTATCAGCTCACAGCAGCCTTTCCTTATTCCTCATCTTCCCGGGGAAGAAGTGAGTTTTCAGATATAGCTAGGATTCATATAGTAGGAGAAAATAAAGTAATGCCCCAGTTTCATTCTTTCTATTGTTTGCCAAATCTGGTACTTTTTCAAAATGCCTTAAGATCAGTGGGAAATTTTCTTTTCCTTACAGGAAAGCCTATAATTTGGAGGGGAGAGAGAAGGTGTTTAATTCTGATTTAAGACAGTGATGGCTGGTATTTTGCTCTCCCATCTGAGCCAGGTTGTTGTTTATGGATATTAAAGCTGCTATTATGTCTCCATCTGTCAGACTGTAATGTCCATCTCTCAGGTGGTTTCATCTCAGGTCATAACATTGTTTTATGACCCTCCGACACCAACAAATTATGGTATCTCTTTTCCCCATAGCTCAAAAAAGGCAAGTGCAAGTCCCGTGTCTTGACAAAACAGCACATTTGTGCTGTTCCTGCCTGCTGGACACTAGGAGGCTCTGTGGCTCCATTGTTATCCAGAGTATGTCGGGGAGGGGCTGGGATTGCTCCCTGGAAGATCCTTAATGGAAACCCTGGAGTTGGACCTGGATTCAGGGAGCTGGGTTGGAGGTGTCTGCAATGAAGGCTGAGAATAAAGGGATTAGAATAAAAGGCAACCCTTTTGCCTCTAATGATGTGGAGATGGGTTTTGTTTTAAGCTGAGATTTGAATGAGGCTCTGAGTGGCAGGTGTGCTTGCAAGTGGATACACCTCTGAGCTCACTTAAGATGTGGAGGCACAAAGAGTTGGGGTGGTGCAGCGCCCATGTTCTGGGGTGGGGAAAGCAGGGAAGCAGTTTCTGTGTCACAGGAGCCTCATACAGCCTGGCCCCAAACCAGCTCAGGCCAGCCCTACCTGTTCTGTTGAATGTAGAGGGAAGAACAGGTAGAATCAGAGGCACTACCCGGGACCATGTCAGAGGGACCCTGTCCCCAGGGAGCTTCAATCACAGTGATGCTATCAGCAGCATATACACTTATTAGCAAGGCTTAGGATGGAGTAGGACAGAATTTTCTCCCCAAAGAACTTTTGCTCTGAGCAGGAAAATGCCCCAATCTAGTTCTAACTCTGTTTCTCCAGATGCTTCTGTGTCCCTAGAACAAGGTGGGATCTGGGCATATAAAAGTTCTGTTTATTGGTTTGTTTCACCTGGCTCGATTTCAAGTTTTTCCATGTGATCGTGCATCTGACTCTACCAGTATGTTGTATTGGCTTATACCTCTCCCTCCCATGAGTCCCATGGCTACTATAAGGTACTAATTTTCTATTGCTGCTGTAATGAATTACCAGTAACTTGGTGGCTTACAATAACACAAATATTACCTTACCGTTCTGGAGGTCAGAAATCCAAAATGGATGTTACTGGGCTAAAATCCAGGTGTTGGCAGGGCTGTATTCATCCCCAAAGCTCTAGGGGAGCACTGTTTTTCTCCTGTTTTCAGCTTCTAGAGGCCACCACCATTCCTTGGCTTATGGCCCCATTCAATCTTCAAAGCCAACAAGGACTGGCTGAGCCTTTGCTCACTCGGCATCACTCTGATGCTCACTCTTCATCCTCCCTCTTCCACATTTTAAGACCCTCGTGATTATACTGGGGCCACCTGGAAAATCCAGGCCACTCTCCCTCTATTAAGGTCAGTTGATTGGCAACCTCACTTCACTTGGAACTTTAATTCCCCTCTATCAGGTAATTTAACACATTCACAGGTTCCAGGGATTAGGCCTGGGCATGCTTGAAGGGCCATCACACTGCCTCCCAAACCTAGGCACCTGGTAACAGGCTGGAAAACATAGTGGGGACCTTGAAAACCGATTGATGACCACCATTTTGCATTCTGGATCTAAGACACACAACAAAGGGATGGAGCCCATAAGAAAACAGACACCACAGGTCATACAAGCTTGTCTGTAAGCTGTTTTCTCCTTATGATCAACAAGTGCCCATGACTCAGCGGTATGCCTCTGTGCCAACAGCAAAAATGTGCCCTTAAACTACTCCTTCTGTGTTGTTACCAAATAAATAACCTAGTTGACCAATCCACAAAGTGGAGGCTACTCTCAGCTCTGTACACTCTACACCCTGAGAGGAAGTTTGTTAGTGAGATGCAAGACTGTTTTATAAGGAAAAGGACAGGTGCAAAGAGTAAGAAATGCTGAGCTTTGCTAGAGGTAAAAATAAGATATAAGTCAACTTTGGAAGATTTAATTTCCAAATCTGTGTGAAAAAGACAGTCTTCTTCCTGATTTATTGTGTGCACAGAGAATGTGAGAGATTCTGTGCTCTGGGTTTTGCAAACTTACTAAAGTTCAAGGATCAAAAAACTCAAGAGAGGCCTTTCACTGCAAAGAAAAACTTTGAAATCTAATGAGCTTTCGGGATACCAACTTGGCTCCTGTAATTTTAACAACGCAGTTGACATGCTTGCTCTTCCTGGGTAAGATGCTAACTTCTAACTCATTTAAGTTCATATAAAGGACTAGGAGCACAGGGCCACCAGTGAGAGGAATAGGAGAGTTGGCCGAGAAGCTGGCTTGCAATAAGACAATGAGTTCATCTTTAAACAGTTGGAGTCTGAGGTGCAAATGGTTGCAGTTGGCAAGCTCCTAGGTAAGGCATGTTCTGGAGAAGGTACTATGAATTGATAATATCAAAAAAAATCTACTGGGAGCCTCTGCAAGTGTGCATCTGTATCTCAGATCAATTACAGTTGAGTTCAGTCCTGCCTGATTCATCTCCCAAAAATGTAACCTCTGCTTAAAGGAGTTTTCAAGTTGGGGGTGGTGGCCCATTCAGTGATGTCACTGACAGGTGTGGAGGTAAAATGTCCCAAAGTATCTTTTTTTTTTTTTGGCTTATGTGCATAAGAACCCTGGTCTGGAATGTGCCACACCTGCTCTCACGCCGCCATGGACTCCTGGACCCTCTGTGTGTCCCTTTGTATCCTGGTAGTCAGTGAGTCCTCACATATTTATCATCCTCATGCTGGGCCTCTGTATAGATGACTACTTCTATTTTCCTTATTCTGTTTCCTATTTTTGCCTTCTTTTATAGCATGCACAGACGCTGGCATTATTCAGTCACCCAAGCATGAGGTGACAGAAATGGGACAAGCAGTGACTCTGAGATGTGAGCCAATTTTAGGCCACAATCTCCTTTACTGGTACAGACAGACCTTGGTGCAGGGACTGGAACTGCTGAGTTACTTCCGTAGCCGATCTATTATAGATGACGAACAGATGCCCAAGGATCGATTCTCAGCTGAGAGGCCTGATGGATCATTCTCTACTCTGAAGATTCAACCTGCAGAGCAGGGGGACTCAGCCGTGTACATCTGTGCAAGCCGCTTAGCCACAGCGTTGCAGAATCGCCCCCTCCCTGTGCAGAAACCCTGGTGCTTCCTCTTCTCCCCACAGCTCCCAGCAGTCCTGAGCAAAGTCTTTCCTGCTCCTCCCTCCTCACAAGAATATTTAAGTGGGTTTGGAGCACAGCAAAGACAGAAGATGGTACAATTTTAACATACAAAATCTTGTGTAGGAGATAATGTAGAAAATGTGTTTTGCAGATTGTATATGGAGTCAGAACTCACACACAGGTAGGATAAACCTTAACCATTGATGCAGCAGGTTTCCCTGCCTTCTATCATTTGTCACCCTCCATCCATTCAAAAGGTGGGAGGTCTTGAGAATGGCTATGTCTTCAGAACTACTCTGCCCACTTCTCTCACTCTAACCTGTGAACAGAAATTTCCCCCTCAAGTACTCTTTATTGTGAAATAAAGTTCTTTTCTGTGATTGTGGAAATTTCTTTATTCTAATTTCAATATAACATTTATATATAGATTTTTACATTACACTTAAAGGGATCTTCAATGTGGGTAATACAGGCAGTTTAATACATTAGAAGTAAGCTACCCCTCTTGGACTACCAGGATTCATTTGCTTCTATCTTGCATAAAGCAAGCCAGGTGATAGCTAAAGGCCTGTGTGCACTCACAAGACATTGATGAGATCTCCTCCACTGCCTGTTCTGGAACTAGCAATATGAATAAACACAGGGTGTCTAAAAGCACACGGGGCTGGGAGTTGTGGCTCATGCTTGTAATCTCAGCACTTTGGGAGGCCGAGGTGGGAGGATCACTTGAGGTGAGGAGTTCAAGACTAGGTTGGGAAACGTGACATTTTGTCCCTAAAAAAATATATATTTTTAAATTAGCCAGGTATGGCAGTCTTAGCTACTCAGGAGGCTGAGTTGAGAGGATCGCTTGAGTGCTGAAGGTCGAGGCTGCAGTGAGCCATGATCATGGCACTGCACTCCTGCCTGGGCAACAGAGTAAGACCCCTATTCACACACACACACACACACACACACACACACACACACACACACACGTAATTTAAAAGAAAACACAGGCCTGGCCGGTCTTCCTTCGCCCCGTTTTCTCCCTGATGCTGTCTCCTGAATGCCCAAATCTGTAGTTTTTTTTCTGGTTTATGCCACACATTTCCACACAACACTTGCAATTCATTCTGAAGAGTTATCAAGTCTTTCTTCCATAGCAGTATTTACATACTGATTACTTCTTAACCCCTATCAGTGAATCATTGGCAAGTGTTGCAAAATATGCCTGTATTTTGAGTGCCCAAGACTATTTGGGTTTCCCCGAGTTCTTCCATATACAGATTTCACTTGTCATTGTCCTAGTTTTGTCATTTAGAGGCCAAGATTTTAAGGATGAGAACGGGGCAGAATGAAATTCAGGATGCTTTTTTTAATATAACGTAGATCGAGAGGCCTACTCTGTGTTTCTATCTTGTTTTTGTGTCTTCCTTGCTCTTTGGGCTTCTCCCCGCTGCCTCCAGATCATTTTCCTTCCTCCTTTGAAGCCCAGCTCCTTTACACGCATAACATTAGAACACGACCCTTCATTGCTGCGCTTGCTGCTTTCCCTTCAGAACTCTCTTCTCATTCAGTCCTCCTGTCTGCTGCTGATCCTGCCATCATT